TACCCCTCATCATGCGCCCACATCTATGACTAACTGTTTCTACTCCTTTACCTATCATGTTTAACACTTCGAGACTGACACTTAATTGGACAGTTAATTCTCTTATTAATAGGCAACGACCGTTTGCAGCTGACTGAGGGGTCACAGAATTTCATGACGTCATTAAATCCTGCTCAACTCGTGATCATCGTCTTGCTCAAACTCGTCCAATTTCCACGTATCTGTTGCTGGGATTGGGTTGACGACAGTAAACAAGCCATAAGTAGTAACTCTACTCTCATTATTTTACCGGTAATAGTCTCCAAGGGTTCATTAATCTACAAACTGTGTGGAATCTAAACGAGCATTAAGTTAACATATAAAAAATAAACCAAACATGAGCCTTCCTGAGACAGGTTCATCCTCCAATGTGCAAAGAGGAAAAATAAGTCACCCATAATTGAACGAAACTCGTAAGTTGTAGACATAATGTCACGAAAGAGACTAGTTGTGAACAAAGGGATGTGAACCGAGTAGTTAAATTAACAGGAAATGACTGTAAAAGGATGACCACCGAGGTGGATGATGACCATGAGATGCTAGTGCATTTATACGCAAACATCTATAAACGCACCTGGAGACTTTTCTGCTGTTGCCTTCTGCTCCATAGGAGGAACGGCAGTTGTCTTCTGCTCCAAAGGAGGAACGGCAGTTGTCTTCTGCTCCGTAGGAGGAACGACAGTTGTCTTTTGCTCCATAGGAGGAACGGCAGTTGTCTTCTCGACAGTCGAGGAAGAAGGGAGACTCGCCAACTTGCTGCCACCCTCAGCTACGCGTTCTTGAAGACTTCTGATTTCCTGATCGTATTTATTCCAATTGGGTATTATACGCATGGCCGCTGACAACTTTGGTTCCTTCGTCATTGGGTTGTTACAGAGGTCGATAGTTTTGGCAGACTGTTTACTCTCATCAGAGCACCAGGTTTCACACCATAGCCACTCCTGAGGCAGCGACTTAATAGGCACCTAGATCACGCAAAAATAGACGCCGGGTTAGTAATAGGCGTCTCGTAACCTCCACACTTCAACGTGCCTACGTTAAACAATACAGTCCTGTTTACCCTGGGCAAAAAAGCCAGCCTACCTGGTGGATCATGTTATTGGGAAGGTCTTGGTCAAGATTTGAAAGGCTGTTTGGATCTTGACTCAGTGCGTGATACTGACCACGCAGACGATCACCGGCCGCCATCTTGCGGAAGCGCACCAAATCTACGACGTAGAGGGCTGAGATGTGGTAGGGTCGCTCCCCAAGATGAGCAGCCCAGTATCCATGCTTCCAGAAACGGAAGCCCTCCATCTCCTTGCGCGAATCGCAGAAGGGTGTGTAGCCGTAGGGCGCACCACCGAGGTCCAGGTCAACAAGCTCCTGCAAATCCGTCCGGACAACCTGAAAGCGGCACATCATGGGTTTATTTTAATCTTTGGAGTTTAATATAAAGTCGTTCTTAGTTTGTAGCTTATTTGCAGGCACTTTTTCGCAGATCTTGTTTCCTATCGGTCGTATAAGTCATTTTAATTATCGTACGCAAAATTTTGGTTATTTAAATAATTATTTTCTATTATATTCTGCTTTTATACGCTTAACTTTTTAATTTATTTTTCCTTTCCCGTGAAATGATCCCTATTAACACCGCTCCCGTAAGACGCAATGATGGGGCCTCGGCATATCAGAATGTCGCCATGTCCGCTTAAAAGATAGAACTTATTATTAAGGGCATTAACGAAACTCACCTGATCGGCATCAACATAAATTATCTTCTTGACACTGAGCGGGAAAAGGACGTCAAGGAAGAGGATTTTGTAGCCCCAGATGATGCGCTGTTTTTCAGTTTGCGGATGGAGCCAGCGTGGCCACTGGTACTGGACAAGTTCGTACTCAAAACCATATTCAGCTGCCATATGCGGTATAAATTCCTTGAAGGACGGTGAGAGGTAATTTTTCAGGAACCAAAACTTGACGGTTGAATTTGTGTGTTCAATAACGCTAAGCATCATAATGCTGAAAAGAAAATGACAAGAAAATAGGCATCATTAAGGACTGCACAAAACAAGGCAACAGAAGAAACGGCGTTCACTCGTATCAAAGTTCCTTGTTAGGGGGAATTCTGGGTAGGTAAACATTAAGAACAATGGTCTAGTTTCCAGTCCGAAAACTCTTGGCTGTATCTTCAACAGATGCGTCGTCCTTCAACCCACAAATGTGAGATGTGAATAGTCGCATTTTACAGCTGATTAAATGTCGGTGCGATTAACTTGCAACATGAAAACGGATAGAGAGTTAGGTGATCATGGCGAAAACTGTTAATAGATGTACAAAAATCCTTCTTCCACATAACAATGATAAGAAGTGTTGAAAGGAAAATGCTGATTCTGTGATTAAGTTAATTTCTAATGCAATCCACGGACTTCATCTAGCAGGTCGCTATGATCCGCGAGACCAGCAAACAAAAATTGGAGGTGGACAATCGAAATAGCTGAAGTCCAACATAAGTCCCATCTCAAAACTCTACAAGGTTCCCAGTTTATAGCAATGTAAAAGCTGTATAAACGTTTAACACCATTGGCTTGAACTATGAAACACTGCCAGATGACAAGTCTCCTCAGCGTTGGCGATAGTTGTGCAGAAGGGGTACTGGCAAAGACAGAGGAGACTGTAAGCTTTTTCCGTCAACGTAGCAGTCATCAGCCGGCCTTAGGCAACCTAGAATTTAAACAGGTGTCCCCTGGTCTTCGAGTGTTAAATTGTCCAAGCCTGTTGTCTTGTCGATTGTGATCGGAAATACTAACTGTGGCGGGGGAGGGTTCATAGACTAGGTTATGGGACGCGAACATTCCGTTGAACCCCAAGGTCAACGGAACGAACAGGGCCATGACGTGATTCCTGCACGCCCTTCCACCATACGTGCTGGTATTTGTACTCGTCACGAATGTGATCATAGCTGGTTCAATGAGTTTTGAGTACGTCGTGGATACCAGCTCTGTACTAGAGCGGTCTGTGGCAGCGTAACAGCAAAGCTCACATTTGTATCTCATCTAGTGACAGAAACCAAACACAGGACGCTTAAGAACTACGTCCACGACCGTGCTATTTGATGCATCAGGTTTCAGGTCGACCCTCACCTCGGTGTTCCCAGGTGGGCAACGGTGTGGGATCAAGGGCAGCAGCATTAAATTTATGAAACAGCCAATGCAGGAACCGCCCAAGACATCTCAGTCATCTTTTTGAACAGAAAGACATTCTTCTGATGGTGGCACAACGGTTTAGACTGTCCCATTTGAAAAGAAATCTATGTACTTCACTCGGTGGATGGTTCTCGAAAAAAAATGGTCGGCCACCTCCAGTTTTAGTTCATCTTTCACGCAAAGAAACCGGAAGCTATAGCCACCGAGGATTGACATGAGAAAAACCAGGAGCAGGTACTCATTGTGGCCATGGACATATGACTTTGATTAGGACAGCTATTGATCCACAGGCTTGTCCCCTCCGGATCAACGATCTTGGTAAAAGAAACATCGACCTTCTCATAGTTGATGGATTAGCCGATCGATTTAGCCACCCGCTACACTATAGTCTGTAGGTCACAACAGACTTAAGCTAAGGATGATATTAGCAGCGTTGTCGACACCCAATCAGCCGGCGTCTGGATGAAAATGCATGGAAAACCTTCAGGAAAGATTGTACTTCTCTGAGCCTGCTTCAGGAAGTGTCTACGGCGATCCCGGAGAAAACATGGGTAGCAAATTATGGTTTTGGTTAACCAATATCAACAGCTCCTCGCCAATATCGCTTCGATAACTTGATTCAAATTAGTCGATGAGGTGGTCGCTTAAAGATGCATGTTGCCCAGTCCGGTAAGTTCAGCCACCGGAAAGAAATAATAGGTCACGATGAGGGGGTCCCT